TTCAAATTTTTTTGAATGTTTCAGATATATTTTATGGTTACTGGACAATTTTCACAATTAACTTAAGCCTCGTATAGATTTATGGTGTCAGTTGAGTTTAGTTAATAATGCAGTGAACATTTTTTTTATTAAAATATATATAAAATAGCATATAAAGCAACTTAAAAAATTTAAAAAAAGACACCTTTGTTTTGTTAAACCAAGAATTTAATATAATCATGATAATAGAACTTCCATAGTAATCCTGTGATAAACTTTTAACAAAGGAAATATGTTCCAAAGCTACAGTAAAAATTTATTTCAATTAAATTTAAATAATTTTTGTCAAAATTAAAGACATGGCATACAAGAAGCACTTTAATAAGGTTTAATTACCTCTGTACATGTGTGTTTTACAGGTAAAAAGAAAGCCCTATTTTTCTTAAACTCGTGTATTACTTATCTAGTGAATTCAAAAGGCCTTGCGATTTAAGTTTCACAGGATGTTGCAATTTTGAATGAATGTTATTTAGAATTTAATACTCTCTGACCAGGTGTGATCTTTTTCATGAGTTTGCCCCAAGCAGGAGGTATTACTTTATACTTCCCTACTAATCAGAAGAACAATTTTATTAATTTCTTTAATTTTTATCCCTTATTGATATATATTGTATATAATATATCCCAAATTATAATAAAAGATATATTTCTAAAATAAGGTTAAACAATTTCAGTGATTTTGTTGGCTGTTGTTACCTCATTAAAAAGATAATTATATAACTATTGTACATTTTTTGTATGTAACCATGAAACCTATGTAGTTTTTATTTAGGAATTTAGGAAAATTAATTTAAAAAAAACACATGCCAAACAAGAAGCACCTTATTAAGGTTTAATTACCCTCAGTATAGGTGTGGTTTTTAGGTAAAAGAAAATCTTTTTTTAACAAAACTCTAAAACTTTAAAATTAATATAATTAAATTATTATATAAGATAATTTGATTTAACTATCTCTATTCGATAAATCTGAGAATCATGTAAGAATGTAAAAATCTGTTTTTATAATATATCTTTATTTCATTGTGGCTGTTGTCATGTCAGTTAAAAAGAAATTTATTTTAACAGTTAAAATTTAGAAAAAGTAGAGGTTATTTGGTCAAGTATGGTTCAGACTGGTCGAGTATTGTTCAGACCTTTGGTCGAGTATGGTTTAGACTGAAAAAAATAGGTCGAGTACAGGTCGAGAATGGGTTAAGACTGTTTCAGACTGGTCGAGTAATAGTTCAGACTATTTTCAATGGCAAAGATAAGGGTCAAGTACAAATCAGTACAGTCGAGTATGGTTAAGACTGGGGTCGAGTAATGTCGAGTAAAATTCAGACGAATTCAGACTGGTCGAGTAAAAATCAGTACAGTCGAGTACAGATATAGGCCATTTCAGACTTTTACTGGTTTGTAGTGAAACCAAAGTCTAAATTATTTTTAGACCTGGTCATTTGTGAACAATAAGATAAACATAAATAAACTGACATTCATTATGTACCTGTCCTAAGCCATGTCACGGTATTTAAGAGGTTTTCGTTGGTTGATGACAGTCATATTTGTTTTCCCTCATCGTTTTTCTATAAACCATTATAACATCAAGCCGTTGGCTTACTCTTTCGAATTGTTTCACATTTTGTCATACTAGTCTTTGGTCGTTTATATCATTGTAATCATTGCACGGTATGAAATTGAAAACCCGCAAAGATTGGTAAAGAATTTCTATTCTAATTTCTATTTCTATTTCTATTTCTATGTCTATGTCTATTTCTATATTTCTATTTCTATTTCTTTTCTTTTTCTTTTTTTTTTCTTTTTCTTTTTCTTACTATACCGTATCGGTTTTACTGATCATTGACCTATACATGTTCACACCATATAGTCCTGGTTTTTATAGATAGTTTGTCTCTGTGTTGGCAATCATACCACATTTCCGTATATGATATAGTTGAGAAAAAAAGGAGCATAAATTTGGTTATTGTTTGGTATTATGGCCCTTAAAACCTTAAACGGTTAATGGAGAGTTAAGACTTATTCCTCAAAGACAAACAACATTCAACGCAATACTACATATAAAAAAATAAAGACTGAGCAACACGAACTTAACAAAAACCAGGAGTGATTTACGGATGATTTCATGTGCTTCGGAAAGATAGCAGATACTGTTCCACATGTGACACCAGTCGATTTGCTCATGATAAGTGATAAGTTTCATTCGGTTATTTCACAATTAAGGGAAAATAAACAAAATTCTTGCTAGGATATATCCGATAGCGTTAGTAAGATTTCCCCCAAAGTGTAAGTATGATTGATTGATTGATTGATTGAGTGTTGGGTGTTTAACGCCACTTTCAGGACACTTGGCTATATCATGGCGGTCACTTTTTATTATTATTTGGTGGAGGAATTTGATGTATGGGAGGGAACCACAGACCTTCGACAGAAAAACTGGCAATCCTAGTCAAGATGGGAGTCGAACGCACTTAGCTGAAACAGGTTTCGAACTCAATATCAGTGTTGACAGGCTTTTGATAACTGTCGATGAACTACTAAGTACACTCGGTCATCAATGCCCAACCTGAAATTACGATGATAAGTAAACAAAAATGCAAACAAACTAAACCATTTGTTTAAAATCAATAAGCTTCGGGAGCTTATCAGATTATCAAGTTGAAATCTTTGAAAAAACTTTTCCTTTGAGGGGACAGATAGCTTGTAAATGGTTAAAATAAACACTTTTTTAATATGGTATAGCCGTTGCCTGCAATTTTTCTCTCCCGAAAACTATAAGGAGTCTTACAGTATGTAATAGACACATGCATCTAATACTAGTATATGCTTTCTACTTCACTAAAATGATTTACATGCAGAGTAGAGGGTGGTAAAGGGTTATTTTCGTGCAACGTTTTCGGCCTTTTTATTTCACGTGTTTTCGTGTTTTGACGTTTTATTTCTCGTTTTCTCGTGTTTGGTTCGATGTGCGTGCTTCGTTTTTCCCCTTATTTATTTTCCGTTTTTCGTGTCGGTACTCTTAATTTCACGTGCTTGTCCCGCATTTGATTAAAAAGTAAACCGGGACTAATTCAAAGTCAGCCCGGATATTGTTTTAAATTATGTATTAATGAACGGGTTCCCAGGATATTAATTGCTCTCTTCATTAATAGCCTATACGTACTTAAATAATAGTATCAATAAGTTGAAATGGAGGAAAATTCAAAACAGATTGTTGAATGCATTATATATTTCTATAACAGCAGTAATAGCAGTGAACCGCCTTTAGCAAAAGAAAGGCAACGGGTAGAGGTTGACCTTGGTCAACCGCTGAATCACATGATTAAAAAAAAACGTGATACGTGCGGGCTTAATGAGGAAGTGGCGAAAAAATGTTTGGGGGACAACATCTCCGTAACAGTCGGAAGGATAGAAAAGGGAAAGATGGGACCAAAGTATTTACCATTAGCACAGAGGAAAGTTTCCATCTGGAATAGAAACCACTTATTCTGAACCCAATCTTACAAGGTATCCATGGACCATTTATAAACTCCGAGATAATTATTTCCAGTTACGGTCATGAGCATACCAGATGCATGTAGATGTTGATGGTCTTACATTAAGATGTCCAAATGGATAATGAAAGACAAAAGGTATACAGGAATTATTCCTCTCCCGTATTCTCTTTATTGCATTGTCTTTAAAGAATCTTTTCAGTCCTTCTCCTATTTTGTGGTCTCGGGGAAACGATGCAAGTCTGTCGAATGAGACGATAAAATGATAGACCTGTATAAGAGGAGAGCCACACTCGCACTAGTACAGAGGGTTTGATACTAATCTTATAGGAATTATAGAACACGCACTCGTGACGCACGAGATGAAACTTACCAAACTCCCACGACTTCACCTAAGCACAATACAGAAGATAGAGATGAGAGAATGGGTAAACGAAAATGAGAAATGCATGAGGCAACGAAGTGTCCGACAGGAAACCACCAAGTTTAAGGCCGGAGCATTGCCGCTGAATTTGTACGTTACCAAAGATTGTACAGAAAAATTCGATGCCCATTTCCCAGACGTTCACGCGAAGATCACAGATGATGAAACAAGGAATCCATTAGACGACGAAAATAACCATGATTTAGCATCCGAATACGAACCTGACTCTGAGTACGAATCCGACTAGGATGTAAGCTATGCCAGTTACTGAAACTGACCTTCTCAATAGCAGACCAGATTGTCTTTCGTTTATGCTTGGTTTTCGGTCTAGAAGTGGACGATGCATAAGGGTCTCCTCAAAATTTGATTGAATTTGAGGATTATTGTTACCTTGTAAGGCTTGTTAAAAAAAACTTCCAATTGGCTCTGATCAAGTTTTGTGCTGACTTTTGCTTTGTACATGGTCCCCTCGTACATATTTCGGCCAACTATGAGCGCACAAAATAATACCCCAAGATATGCAATCAAATGCTTAGTGGTTTCTTCCGAATATGCGAAGCAGGTATTATCGCGAGAATTAACGTTTATGTGTATTTATATGTGTTATAACACCTTCTGAAACTTGTGTAATCTAATAGAACTTGATGTATATTGTTACCATTCTACTTTTGCAATTATATTGTATATGTATGGTATGTAATAAAGTCCATTAAATTACTATGAATAATATTTTTTTCAAATCAGATGCAACTAGCGGACGCTGAAAGGTGACCGCACGGTCTTTATGTCCATTAATAATGACTGCATGATCTTCAAGAACGGCTGAGTAATAACTTCTAGTACTTTTTTCCTTGATATTTACGATTTTATTTCTCGTGCTTTGTTTTTCCCGATTTTTATTTTTCGTGCAACGTTTTTGCGATTTTTTATTTCACGTGTTTCCGTGTTCAGACCCCCCACCCCCCATCCTTTTACCACCCTCAGAGTAGCTACATTCTATCAAGCTTTTGAGGCAGGAGTAAAAAAAGGAGAGTGAAAAAAACAAGCACTTACAAAATGAGAATATTACTCTTTTAATTTTATTATAAACAACATGCAGTTTTGACTTATTTAGATGTCTGAACCGAAAATTCCTTGCTTTTGTCAGCTTCAGCGGCGTCTTTCCCTTTGAAATCATCATCCGTCAGCGCACGCCCTTCTTTGTGAACACGAGTCATGATTTTTGTTGTCCATTTAGTATTGATGCTTTGCATGGATTTATCTATGGCAGCTAAAAGAAACGTAAACATATTACTTTGTTCTTGTGTCTCGGGCATATCAAGCCAAAACTGAAGAAGTCTGTGAAGAAAACCAGTGGTGTGAACTTTAAACTCTTCTTCAAAACCAATTATCACTGCAGTCGGTATTTTTAACTCTCTGCCAAATTGCCCAACTTCGTGCAACTTATTTGTTAAATGTTTGGCAAGAACAATCAAACTGCTGTCTGCAAAGAACTCAGAATCTCCTTCTACAAATTAAAATAAAAAATACAATTTCTGTCAAAACACGAACTAAAGGGTTTTCATTATGAAAAAACAATATCGAAGAGAATTCTCTATATAGAATCTGCAACCATACCACATTTCCTTTTTTAATACAGGTGGCTTAATGTTGACAAGACAATTAAATTACATTACAGCTTGGTATTGTGAGAGTAAATCTCTTTGAAAAAAAACGAATTAGTCTTGAAGTTCACTTATTTAACATGCGACTAAGTTATCCAATACAGAATATCAGTCGCATTACAGCTGCCACATATTCATGTTTATATCATTAAAAAAAATGATGTAACTGCATGGTTATTAATTATAGTACTTTACGACTGGCAAAAAACCAGCTGCTCTGCAAGGTATTCCGTCTACATGCCACTAATCATAATGTACTACGTTACAACCATGTATATTTTTATACAGCCTAGTTAACTCGATAGTTGTATTTTTAATTTAAAAAAAAACATTAAGCTATCTCGAACTGATGCATATCGTAATCAACGGGGGAGGGGGGAGGGCGTAGTGGTAACTATATGTATAATACTCCATATCAAATACTAGTTTTACACCATTCAAGGACTGTATAGGGAAGTAGCTTAAAAAAGAAAAGAAAAAGAATATTAATAAAAATAAGTGATGAATTATGACAAGAGGCTCTTACGTAAGAATTTGAGTCTCACTTGGATGTATTTTGCCCAAATAGCAAACAAAATTAAACAGGTAATAAAATATGATAAAAAGAATACCTTCTAATGAAAATTTCTGCGTGGATTGTTTTATTTCCTTTCATTTGTCCACAATATAAATCAAAGCTTAATTCACATTTATAAGCGTTTCAAAGTAAATTTTAACCCCTGCTGACGGCCTTTTCGAATTTTTGAAATATTTAATGTTTGTTTAAGGACTTCAAAGGAACATATCTCGAAGGTTTGCTGTTAATATGTTCAGTGGTTCTATCTTCAAAAAGATCTTTCAAATCAGACCAATTTGACCCCTTTTTATCTCTGAAACCGTACAAGTTTTTCATCAGAACAAAAAAACAACACTTCATTAGTATATCTTGCAAAGAAAAGCAAAATGACACGAAAGTATAGCAACACTCGGAAAAAAAAAACCAGACACGACGAACATCTCTGTAAAGTTTGGTTCTGTTCATAGGTTCTCAAGAAGAAGGCTCGGAATTGAAAAGCTAACGTACAGACGCTTGCAATTGACGACAAGCGCAAACTGACGACAAAAGCTCATATGTCCTTGGACCAAGTGAGTTTATAAATGGAGAAACAATACTTTCTCTCAACTCATAATTTAAACAAAAAATCTATATAATATACAATGATATCATGCCAGCATTACCTTCGACCGGTTTGTTAGGAATTTTCAGTTTTGACAGTTTCAATAGTGGTAGGTTGGTTTGATGAATTCGTATCTTTACATACTTGTCTGACGTTAGGTCAAACTGCATGTTTTCAAAGGCTCCAATACGTCCTCCTTTTGGTAGATCGATTGCCAACAGAGCAAAATTTGTGTCAAAAGATCCTTTGTACACGAAAGTATATTGTGGTTGAATTTCAGCTTTTACAACATAGTTTAGACGAAGTCGTTCATCTTCGTGGATCTGAACAGTTTTAGATCGACAATCAGTTATTTCTGTAAAATGATGTTCATGCGCCCTTTTTTGTTTCATTGCTGGAATTTTGTATTCTGGAATGCATTCTACTCTGATGGCAAACTTGAAGTTTGATTCTTTCCGTGCAAAAATGAGTATGTTACAAACGTGCTGAATGTTCATGAGAATTTTAGCATCGTCTCTAATCTCTCGGTGATTTATACCAGGCTTAATCCATGCAATCTGAAAACTGACAATTACTTAAATTATTACTCTCAAAAGAAGTGAAAATTGTTTAAACGTTTCTTGCATTATACTACAGTTACACATATAGAAAAGGACGCCTAATATTCTTGCCGAACATATTGGCATATCTGCAAACAGGAACAATATTTACTATGAAGTTGCTATAGCTTTTTGACAGGTTTATTGATTCCTATGCTGCATCATAGAGAAAAGTTCATTACTTTACAAAAATGTTTTTAAAAATACTTTATTTATTGATTTGGATAACGCAAAGCTTTTTTCAATATGGAAGTTAAATCGAAGAATATAACTGACTTTATAACCATGTGAACGAGAAATTCAATTTCAGCTATTAATTCTTGTTGTGTTTTGTTTAATATGAATTACACAAAAATATAAAATTTCATTATAAAAAATATTATACTTTTTGCTTTCTTTGATAATTGTTTCATTTCATTTTTTCAGCGAGAACGTGTTGTGTTATTTTTCTCGTACTTTAATTTACTTTGCCCTCCACATTGCAGACTGGAAATCGTGTTTTGCGACATGCACAACAAGTGGAAAATAATATTGAGTTGGAACACATAACTTCTATAGTTGGAACACATAAAATCGTGTTTTGCGACATGCACAACAAGTGGAAAATAATATTGAGTTGGAACACATAACTTCTATAGCTTGTTGTTCTTTTCGTTATCGATGCTTAAATTGATTGATTGATTGTTGCTTGCTTAACGTCTAGTAGTGATATGCAGATATTTAGAGAAAACATGATTACATCATCACTTAATTTTGTTTTTATTAGGTCTTTCCACTTTTCCGTGGAAAGACCTATTGCTTTTGTTCTTTGTTTTTTTTCTTTTTTCTTCCGCCACATTTTGTTCTTGCGCAGTATTGTGGTTTCGCAAGATGTCGCTTAGATTTTTCATATATGATATCGAACAGTTATTGTCCTTTTGAAACTGACACCGCTTAACCGAACACTTTACTTTGTAAGAGTTTTCTCCCCAAACACTGTTTTTCTTGTGTCCACTACTCCTTCGCAACTGTAAAAGATTACGACAAAATTATTTCACTAATTTGCTCATTATATCCTCAGGATCTGACTAAATGATGACCGAAGCCATCCGGAGACTCCATATGAGAGTTTTTCCCGTTTTGCATTTGATATAAGTGATATGCATATGAACTCATAAACCGTAAGCCGTATAAACCTAGAGTCGTTGTTTTTGAGGTCCTTGGGTCCCAACTTAGAAAATGAGGTCAACAAGGTCATGTTCTAAATTTTGACATTCACTTCAAGCTCCTTTTACTCAGAATAAAGTAAGAGGTAAAATTTAAAAAAAAAGTGATCAAAATATTAGTCACGACATCATTTAACTGAAGAGTTTTTGTCGAAATGGTACGCGTAATTTTTGGGGGGGTTCCATGCCACTGAAATGGAAAAATGAACAAATTAACTAATTATAGCTTCAAACTTTACAGCTATCATGATGCGTACATGCAATTTATCTTTGTTAATCATCCAAGGCCCAGAGACCACCCCTCTAGCCCCTCCCCCCTTTTTTTTTGAGGAATCCCATTTCTATTTTATTATAAAAATGCTAATCCTTCTTTTTTACGAATAAACTTCTTTCTGAAATACAAATCCTTTCCTGCAAAAATCTGCTCCAATTCATGTATTTCTAAAAAATAATCGATAAACGTTTTGTTATACAATTGTAGTACTATATAACATCAGTATTATTTTTGTGTGCATGCAATGAATGTAGACCAGTGGTCAGCGATTGGACAATAGTTTGTTTACTTGCAAAATGAATCGAGAAAATATATATCCGTTAGCAGTATTAATCACGTGCAGACCGCTTGACGTTACAATCTGGATTGAGAAATTAAAATCAATGACGTAGAAATCTCTCCAAAGCTCGTAAATATTATTAGTAAAATTTCTAAACATGCATTAAAATACAATTCTGTGCTCCCGTAAATATGTGTATGAAAAAAACATGCATGATCCGACATCAATGACCTGTAAATGAAAGAAAATTAAATCTGTTAGCACAATCTTTATACACATGGGTGTAGTCTTGACGACGTCTCCTCTGCAAAGAAATAAAAAAAAAACAGTCCATTTGTCTATATCAGCTTTGTGACGTCACAATCACACCATCCAGTGCGGCGCGTTCTACCTAAAATAAAATATGGGTTTTCCCCTTTTCGAAAAGAATTAAAATGTGCACGTAGATTTAAAACAAAAGATCCATGCAGGTCAGGTCCGATTTCCTTTAAATACAAAATTTAATACAATGCACACACAATAAGACCAATAAGTAAATTAGACACAAATTCCGGGAAGCCCTATGAAAAAAGAGAACATTTATAAAGGACTGAGATGCAAGGATATTTTTTGTAGGTGTGTTTAAATCCTTGCATGTTCCTACAAATATCATAATTTGAATATAAATAAACATGTTGTACGGACCCGTTTTCGCGTGTTCCTAGAGCCTAGGTCCCAAGTGTTTAAACACGGGAACTAGGCTCTCAATTCCTTTTTTGCGTATTCCTAGAGGCTAGGTCTCAAGTGTTTAAACACGGCCACTAGGCTCTCAATTCCTTTTTCGCGTATTCCTAGAGGCTAGGTTTCAAGTGTTTAAGCACGGCCACTAGGCTCTCAATTCCTTTTTCGCATATTCCCAGAGCCTGGCTAGGTCTCAAGTGTTAAAACCCTGCCACTAGGCTCTCGATTCCTTTTTCGCGTATTCCTAGAGGCTAGGTCTCAAGTGTTTAAACACGGTCACTAGACTCTCAATTCCTTTTTCGCGTATTCCTAGAGGCTAGGTCTCAAGTGTTTAAACACGGCCACTAGGCTCTCAATTCCTTTTTCGCGTATTCCTAGAGGCTAGGTCCCAAGTGTTTAAATACGGGAACTAGGCTCTGAATTCCTTTTTCGCGTATTCCTAGAGGCTAGGTCTCAAGTGTTTAAACACGGCCACTAGGCTCTCAATTCCTTTTTCGCGTGTTCCTAGAGGCTAGGTCTCAAGTGTTTAAACACGGCCACTAGGCTCTCAATTCCTTTTTTGCATGTTCCTAGTGGCTCGGTCCCATGGGTGTAATTAGTCAATCAATCAATCAATCAATAAAAAAAATCAATTAATCAATCATGTTTCGGAAAGGAGAGACCGTTAACAATTGTTTTTAAAACAATTGATTTATATTTGTATTTGTTTTCATAATTACTTTTTACCAAAACGTTATCTTGCAAACCGTGATAATTTTTATAGTAATTACTAGTAATTGCGAACCGGCAAAAAAAATTGTCACACATAGGAGAGTGCCATTTAAAGCCGAGAATTTTTTCTTCAGTTGCACACAGCTATGAACAAATTTGTATACTATTATCCACTAAAAGGTTTCTTATCAGATATTATTCATTTTCGCATTGAGAAACCCATGATAATTCTATATAAGCAAATTTTATAAAAATCTAGACGGAATATCTTTACTGGAGGAGACGTATTACAAATGTACTAGTATTCTTTGAAGAATTCAATAGATTTCATCCATTTATAACATTAACATATGCCCGAGGGTTTCGTGCATATAAACACAAGTTATACAAAAGTGGGACACGAGTGTTCTTGTTCGGCTGGTTCGAGGCTGAAAAGTCTATTGGAATTGTTTACATGTTACCACGACAAAAGAAGTACCATTATAAAACTTTATTGTGATTTTGTCAGATGCAAAAGAATAAGACATATAGTTACGCTTGCCTGTTCTGCTATCTCATTAAAACAAATCATATAAAAAGTCATTGAAGTAACTAAGTTTACTTTTATAAAGTATGTCAACGTTTTATTTCATACACAAAGATTAAGTCCACGTACGTGTTTGAAGTTTTCGATATTTTTTTTTTAAATCTGGTTATCACTCTCATGGCTTATTTTAATTCTATTTTCATTAGTTAAATAATTTTGTGCTTACGAAAAAAAGTAGATATGTCCTATTTTCGGTGCAAAATATAGTTAGCATGCATTTTGTGTCCGGGGATTCAGGGACACGTATGTGTGGCTTAAACAAATCAGTACTAATCTGAACACGACGTTATATCTATATATAAAAATTAAATAAATAGTGAACACAAGTGGATTCAGTGCTATTTCCTATATAAACGAAACTTAAAAAAATAGGGGATACAGGCGGACACAACTGGACACAGTGCTATTTCTATATAAAACTTTACGAAACCGGGGGCTACAGGCGGACACAAGTTTACATCCCAACTCCTTTGTTCTAACAGATCACCCTACCTAGTTTCTTTGTTCTGCATGCTTTCTTTTGTTCTGCAACATTTTGGCCGGAATCTAAAACTGACACACCGCGTCCTCATGGGATAACTATTACAGACACAACGTCAATTCTATATAAAACTTTTAGAAACTGGTGGCTACAGGCGGACACAGTTGGACACATTGCAATTTCTATATAAAAATTTCAAAAAACAGGGGCTACAGGCGGACACAAGTGAACACAACGTTATTTCTATATAAAACTTATAGAAACTGGTGCCTACAGGCGGACACAGCTGGACACAGTGCTATTTCTATATAAAAATTACAGAAACAGGGGGCTACAGGCGGACACAAGTGGACACAACGTTATTTCTATATAAAACTTAAAGAAACAGGGGATACAGGCGGACACAACTGGAATAGTGCTATTTCTATATAAAAATATAAAAACTGGTGGCTACAGGCGGACACAGCTGGACACAGTGCTATTCATATATAAAACTTAAAGAAACATGGGGGTACAGGCGGACACAAGTGGACAGACACAACGTTATTTATATATAAAACTTATAGAAACTAGTGGCTACAGGCGGACACAGTGCTATTTCTATATAAAAATTACAGAAACAGGGGGCTACAGGCGGACACAAGTGGACACAACGTTATTTCTATATAAAACTTAAAGAAACAGGGGATACAGGCGGACACAACTGGA